GACAGCTATGGAACAAACTGAATTACTTACTCATGTAACACATTTTCTTCCTATCACAGGCTTTGTCACACTTTCAAGAAGCTGAAAAGTGTAAGATTTATTTTGAGGAGAAAAAAATTATGACAACTTTTGAATTTTTTTAATTAAGTCTGCATCTTTTTCAGCCTAACTATTTTTATGAATTTCACGCAGGGTGTAGATAATGTTGACTGTCATTAATCTTACCATCATAGTGTATTCTTGGTGTGGTATGTTACTGTACTGTCTTGTCGATATCAAAAGTCAGTTTTTAAATTTGGAAAATTGTATTTCAGTAGAGCCAAACTTCTTCAGCAAGAACCATCTTATGCTGGGAACAACATTATTCAAGCAAAAGAAGAGGGAAGAGGCTAAAGTGTGGCTTAGTAAAGCAGTAAATGAGAATCCACTTAAAACAAAAGACGATAAAAAAGTATGTACCCTGGCTGTTGATAATAATGAGTAACAGATATTTCAAGTGAAAAAAAGCACAGACTTTTCTCATTGTGAGGTACTTAGAGTGTTACCTTTGTTTACCGTCCATGCCAGGTAGACTTAAAAAAATGAACTTCATTTTAGCTGCTATTTCTCCACATTGCTAAACTCATTGGTTTTGAAAATTTCCAGAAAGCCAATATCAAGGTTTGAAGGCATCAAATACAAATTTTTTTCTTTTTTTCACAGGCAAAAGAGGAGGCTGAGGAGCTACTTAAACGTTTATAAACTACATTGATTTCAGAGAGTGGATTTACAATTAGGTTCATCATTAAATATGTTGTAAGGGTTGGCCTATTTCAAATTGCATTAAACACAATATACTGACAAGAAAACCAATTTGTAGATGCATTTATTTATTAGAAATTAACATCTAAAATTCTAGATTCCATGGTTCTAAACCAGGATTACAAATAACTGTGGAGCAAAGTCTGTGGGAAAGTTTCCTCTCTATGGAAATCAGTACATTTCATTAGTTAATTAGAATTGAAATCTTACACTGGACATACATATTTAACAGCTGGCTAAGGGTCATGTATAGTCCTCAACTATGAACAGTACTCAGATTATGGTAAGGAAACCTGACTAGTTTCAGCATGGGTTTAGTAACTGGAAGATAAGACTTACAGTTCTGCCTCATGCATTTGTATCAACAAACTGAAGTGTTACATGGTGGTCCCTCCTGCCAGTACTTGACAGCAACATCGCATGATTGCAAGGGTGAGATTTAAGCAGCATTTGTTGTTGAAATGCTGTGGGTGCTATCTTCTGGAAGATGCTGAGAACCCAGGTGACAGACGTGAGTGTGTTAGGAGTAAAACCTAGTACAAGGTTTATAACAGCATATGTTGTTACAATACTGTGACTGCTATCTTCTGGGAGAAACTGTGAACCCAGGTGACACACACATGTGCGTGTCAGGTGTAAAACCTGGTACAATGCCATCTGGGCTGCTGCAGCTATCCAAGTAATCTTCTCCTTCATCCTGGAAAAATAAAAATAATGCTGGAACATTTAAAAAGTGTTACAAATAAACCATACCATTAAAATTTAATGTGCATACCCTTGATTGTTCTCTGCACCTTATATTTTTGTTGTTTTCGATGAAGTTTTTTACAAGGGTTAGGGTTTGGGTTTGCATTTCTTTTGCAATGGATAGTTTTAAGAATATCTTATTCAAAATCTGCCACACTCAGCATGTGTGAGGCCTGCTCAGTTTTACCAATGAGAATTCCAGAAATACAAACCCATTAAAACTAATATTGATATTCTTTTCTAGTTAAAACTGATCTGACAACATCTTACATATGTTTCTGAATGTTTCCTTTGATCATCTTCTTCTTCATCATCATCGTCATCATCTGCATCGTGTTCCAATTCCTTCCATTCATGATAGAGTGGCTTGATAAACTTTGACGATCTGTTTTCAGTAACATTACCTCTCAAAGTTAATACTAGGTCAATAACTAATTGTTACTAATGAGACTAAGTTTTGTTACTATATCTTTTGTTGTGAACTGTTCAGCTTTTCATTAAGAAACCATGAATGGTCACCAGGATCTTACAACATATTGTGCAAGAGTTAGGTTGGGAGAAAGAGGGCATTTTTAGGTAAATGTGAAGAAGATACGGAAGCAAGTACACACAGTACTGTACTCCACAGATGTATTTCTATTTACTGTTTTCAAATATGAGGGGTTTGGATCAATGTTGGTCTACTTAACACTGTCTGGCTGGCTGTTTATAATGCATTGGTATCACGTCTACCAACAGGTTACCAACTTCTGTGCGTGGGAGCTATCTTTTCACTTTTACCCATGTTTGTATGTGTATTAAAAACTTTTATGCCACAAGTAAAAAGCATGATTTTGTACTCACCTTTTCAAAAGGTAAGGATCAAAAGGAAAATAAGAATCTAACTGGTTCTGGAAAGACAAACTCCTCACTGCATGGCTGGATGCTGTTGTTGCCACTGGCAACATCATTCTGTTGTTTTGTTCAATAATTGTATAGCAAAAAACCAGCTCGTAATGTCTGTTGATTTAAACCAGCCATTTAGTATGTTCCACAAAAGGCAATTTGATTTTACAAGCTAGTAACCCTTGAATAAAAGGTGAACTAAACATTGCTTGAATGAACCAGAAACTCTGTTACTTGCTTACAATAGAAACCATTTGAGGGTCTAGAGGGGAATGCACATAGTGATAAATACAATTTTACCTTGTGATATATGCAAACAATTTAACAATGCTTGGTAAGCAAACCTGCATAAAGGTCAGAGCAGAAAGCAAAAATGATTAGTTGATGTACTTTTCGAATCTTATGACAATCACTTTGAACTTAAAGTTATTTGCATGTATGCTGTACACAGAAGTGGTTTTAACCCTTTAACTCCAAGGAGTGACCAAAACAGAATTGCTCCTTACAATATCAATATGTAGTCAAGAATACAAGTGACGAGATTAAATGTCAATTTGGCAATTGTGATCCAATATCAAATTCTCTGAAGTAACATGAGAACTGCATGGCAGACAGAAAGGAGAATTGATTGTGAGATCTGGGAGTGAGACTGGGTTAATGCCCACCCCTGCCCTACAACCCTGCACACTGTTAGGCAACATGGATTACAGGTAAAAAGAAAAAAAAAAGCATGCCAACCCTGAGTGGATTCATGCGGCAAGTTACAATTCTGTCCAGGTTAAGTCTTCTTATGTACTTCAGTCCTGTGAGGAGACAGAACTTTTGTTTAATGTTCTAAAATAAACCAGTTCCAAAATCATTTAAGTTGTTAATTAACAAAATTTCAACCCAAAAGCTGATCAAAATCATTCAAATGATTTGAGAGAGAGCTAGTTAGTTTGACACTATTTAAAAGAAATACACTGAAACAGAGATGAACAAAGGGGCATTAAAATCTGTTTGTAAACCTTTATCATACCTCCTTCAAGTTCAAGCAACTGTTTGTGGCGAAATACAAACATGTAGAAAAGTGCCTGGAAATGAATGTTCCATGATTTAATGGCAATTATGATTTCAACTAAAAGTCCATTCATAAAAAAATTTTTCATACAACTTAGATCAGTATTTCTTCTGTCAATACAATGGCAAAAAAGGGAAGATAGGTTAGGCCAGAAAAACTCTCTTGTTTTCAGTTTGGTTCCTTCCCTCTCCACACTTCATGTTTTTTACCTTTGCGTCCCTCCTGTTTGCACAATTCCAATAGTACAAAGCTAAATTGTGTGCAAGTAACTCTTGACCAGACATCGCTTGATTAGCTATGTTGCTTTATGTTTTTGTAAAAAAGGTAAAAGAAAAAAAGTACCAAAAGTAAGAAAACTGCAAGTAATCATCAGCTTACCTGACAAACTGAGTAAAACGGGCCATATTTACCAGCATCAGGTGTTACACAGCTTGCATCATGAGTGTCAATATAGCTGTAAAGATATCAAGCATATCTCAAGACTGATTATGTCCCTTACTATCAAACACATGCTATGTGTTTTAGATACACTTACCAGTGAATCCAGTGCACAATAAGGTCCAGACAAGTTTGCACTGTACTGTAAAATTAAAAGGTGACATACCATTGAATTATTGCCAGAATCTCCCTAAATATTACATTTTGAAATTGCTTTAGGTTAGTAAATTGTAAGTTGTAAAATGCTTGTCTATTCATTTATTTATTTATTAGCTTTGCCAACAATACATACAATATAGAACATGGGGTTAATAACAGGCTTGTAACCACAACAGCAATAGCCAGTTACTGTGGTCTCAGGAGTATTAAAATAGTAAAACTAAAATAGTAAAATGATTACATCAATAATTAATAAGTAAGAACAGCATGGAGTTGGTGTTGTTTTCAGGCTGTGACATGAATTACATTTTGTACAGATAGTTTTATGAGTCCTGGGATTGTCAATGTCATAGATCTCTTAGAGTGCAGTTGAATAATAACACATCAAAGCATGTTTGAAGTCATCTACATTGTTCATACCTAGGTTAAGCTCATCTGACAGTGTGTTCCAGATTCTTATTGTTCGTAAATATAATAAATGACCGTTCTTTTTCTTTCTTTTCATTGGCACTAAAGAAAATTGATCTTTCTAACTATACATTATCACTTCAAGCATATAGCGTAGACATTTTACATCAATACAATGATCAACCACTCAGTTTCCATACAGTTGATATGTCTCACTTGAGCTCAAGGAGCTATCTGTGAATTTCTATCAACTAGTCCACTTTTGTCACTTTCATGGCAACTACAAGTCTTACCTAATGGGAATGTATTTAGCCCTGGCTGTAAAACTTGCAATGTAAGCTGCACTAGCCTGTCTGATGATAGCTGGGGTATTAGGTTCCTCAATCTGGAACACAGACACACTTGAATGACTACAAAGATGATAACAACAACAGAACACATGTCCAATAACTACTCACTGATTACAAAAAATTTGAAACATGATCTCAGATGATGAATGAAGCATTACTTAAATAACCATCTGTATATCTCTGTATCAACTTACCACCAGTGGATTCTTGTGATGCCAACCAGTGTCACAGTAGATTTGTCACTTTGGCATCACTTTGGAACCCCCAGTCAATTTTTGTTTGTAAATTTTGACTCTATTCTAGAATTCAGACACCCCTTTGAAACATTCATTGAAATGAAAAGCTCCTCAAAAATGGAAATTTGTTGCCATTGTGACCTCCTTAGCTTGTCTTTATTTTAAGCAGTTTTCATGCAATTCAGTTACTACAGAATTGCCAATAAATTAAAAGAAATAGAAATGTAACCATTGCACAACAATTGCAGCCATATTGCACATAGCCATTTAGTCAGGATTTTGTAAAACATCCACTAAAATTTACAAACTTAAATTTAAAAACCTTGGATTAATTCCTAATGTAACCAACACAGGGCTCATTGGAAGTGAAAGTATTACCTTCTTCCAGCAAACATCAAGAAGGGAATTGGAAAAATACTGCAAAAGAGGAAAAGAAAGAAAGGAAAATCTTGAATGAAATTCAGATAAGGAAAAGTATCACACAACCTGCATGAATTTTCATGTACGGTTTTACTGACATGTATCATATTGACTGAGTTAGGGTCAGCTATCAGTCATGACATTAATAAACCTTGGTGCACTTGGTTTGTGTGTCTATAACCATGGGCCAAATATGTTACCATCTGGCACTGTGCCATTCAGAGAATAAGCACATGATACAGTGCTTCTTGATGAAGCAAAGGTGGGCACTGACAGGACTAGTTCCCTGGTAAGGAGGGAGTATCCTCTTCAGAAAACATTAGGCATCTTATCACTTGTCTACAATCAAGTGTCTAGGAAGAGATATCCATTTGTCTCAATAACTGTATGTGTCTATAATGTTTTAATCACAATAGAACTGCTTCCCTCAATGAAAACTGATTTTCTGGAAACTGCACACATCTTAAAGATTAATGACATCTTGATGACATGTGTACTTGCTATTAAAATTAATTTGGTATTAATCAGTGAGTCCTAAAGGGAAGGGGAGTGAAATAACAAAAATTCCAAGTGTTGAAGGTTTTGTTTCATTCTGACTAAGTATACAGTCAAGTTTTATCATACCAACCTGATCAAAGCTGCAGAGTAGAAACATTATGAACTGAATATGGCATGATGCATGTGTAGGGAGGATGACTTTGTCAAAAATCTGTCAAATCAAAATAAACTTGTTTATTTATGATCTTTGTAGAACTGAGTTAACAGTCTGTATGGTGGTGTGTCATAAGTGCTTTCTGTTGATGAAAAGAAAATTTTCAAATATGGTTACTGACTGTAAAATAATTAAGCTTAAAAAAAAACTTGATAACACAAGTTATGACTTACCACCAGTAACTCATTGAACAATTCAATACCACCATCAACTATATACTCTCCTAATAATATGAAAAAAAAGACAATTAAAACACCAACAGCCTCTGCCAAGTGATCAAAAACATCGGTAATTGTGAAGAAGAGCTCCCCAAAAAACCTGTCGGCCGACTGTCGGTCAACTGTCGGCCGACAGGTTACCGACAGTCTACCGACAGCTAACCAACAGGTTATCGACAGGTTAAGAAAAAACAAAATTGTGTTAAAAACGAACAGTAAACGTGACATAACAATCCGTAATGGTGATGTATGACTCGACAGACTTCACCTACTTACCGATCGACGGCAAAGTTGAAAGTATGTAAAGAAACGTTTCTTCCAAAATGTTGTTATCAGATGCGTATAGGATATATCACTTGCGTAATTTACAACACACCAGACAATCTAAGAATCGCATTGGAAGATAATTTAATCGAAAAACTCGGCCAAAAACTCTGATAACCATAAGCTACGTATCAATACAAACACTTTCGTTCAAATCGCCCAACAATGCAACGCTGCCTCTTATGGTATGTTATGTATGTATCAATAATTTTTACCTTGTGCATTTGTGTTGCTAACATCGTCCTCTATCTTGCAGGTTTGGGATGAATTGCTATTTCCAATTTCAAGTTTAATAAATGATACAACTGTGAATCTTTTTACTCGTTATGTTGAGTAATAAATTACTATACGCAACAATTCGATAATTAGACTTGGATGCGTGATGCGATAATTGATTTAGGCGCGCGCCGCTAAAATCACGATTCTACGAGTGAAGTATCTTGTATATTTCACCACTCACAAAACGGCTCCTTTAGGAGCCACCAAATCTTGAAAGTCAATTTTCAACGTATTATACATGTTGGATGTTGTATCAAGCGAAAACCGAGAGAAAACATTAAGGTTTGTGTTAACGTTTCACGGACAAGCTACCGACAAGCTACCGACAGGTTACCGACACATTACCAACAGTCGGCCGACTGTCGGCCGACTGTCGGTCCACTGTCGGCCGACAGGTAGCCTATATTTCGGGCAAAACCTGTCGGCCGTCTGTCGGCCAACTGTCGGCCGACAAACGGCCGAC